ATTCCTTAGATGTTTACGTATTGTTTCATGAAAGACATGCTGCAATTTCAGGGCCATTTCATGTGTGTGTCGCCTTGGGTTAGACTCAACAAGCGTCTTCAGGGCATCAGTATCAATTCCAACATGTCGGCCCCTGCCATCACAGTTATTAAGGCTAAAGCCACCTGAATGAAACTTGCTGAACCATCGTTGACACTTACGAACGTTCAAAACATTTACATAAACTTCTTTGATATTCTGTGTGGCTACAGACTCGTTGTTTCCCTTCTTGTATTCAAACAGCATTAGATGCCGAATATATGTCTCGTCGTGTGCCACCACTATAAGGGATTAGACTATATTAAACTATACACATTATATAGGCTACATTAACGTGACGTTTAGGCGATTCGTTTAACTATTATATGTCATGTCCGTTTTTTGGAGGGTGGTTAATGAAAGTGTTTCAAAATGCGACATTAATTTCTTGACGACCTAATAATTCTGAAAGAAGCGATCATGACAAGTCAGAACAATTTCGCTTGTAAAAATATTTCGAAGATTTGTTACAACGTAGTTCATTCGGCTTTACTTAAGAAAAATGCACGCCAAAAATTAACACCCTTAAACTAATAATATCATAATGTAATTGTTTGTTTGTTTGTTTTGAATTTCGTGCAAAGCTACATGAGTGCTATCTGCGCTAGCCGTCTCTAATTTAGCAGTGTAAGACTAGAGGGAAAGCAACTAGTCATCACTACCCACCTCTAACTCTTGGGCTACTCTTTTACCAACGAATAGTGGGATTGACCGTCACATTATAACGCCTCAACGGCTGAAAGAGCGAGCATGTTTTGGTGGGACGGGGATTCGAAACCGCGACCCGCAGATTGCGAGTCGAATGCCCTTACCACCTGGCCATGTCGGGCCCATAATGTAATCTCAATAACTTCTTTGTAAACGTGCATTGTCTATACGAGACAAAACGAGTTTGTATCCAATTCAAAACAGCTCAGAGTACCTTTACCTTCACATAAATTCATGAATGAGAAAAAAATTATTCGATTGACTTAATTGTTTATTTTAATCGTTTGGTATTAGCACATAAGTGTAGTGTGTGATATATATTTATCTCTTTGTTCAGAGCCTCACGGACAAGACCCCCTACGTATCACCCACTTCGTTCCCAGGATTAAGTCACAAGAAGGTGATGTCGTTCAATTATCTTGTGCAGCTCAGGCACGCTCTAAACCAACATACACTTGGAACAAGCTGGAAGGTGGCGTTCTTCATGGTCTTGACAGAAGAAGTGACGTATCTATTCGCGATGGAATACTAACCATTACGCATGCTCAAATATTGCACAGTGGAAAGTACGTGTGTTATGTTAACAACAGCTTTAGCGAAGACAAAAGAACTACAGAGCTCGTAGTTACAGGTAACGCAATTATTTAACAGGTAGTAACATGAGAATCAATTATTTATCAGGTAGTAACAGGTAAAAAATTACTTAAACTGTCAAATACGTAGTGGAATGTAGGGACCAGAGTGAAGTGAAGTAAAACTCGTATTTCAAATGAAACTCTAATTCGAATCATAAAGTGGCAAAGCTAATTTTTCCTGCATTTATAAGAATGTTTTTATATCTTCAGGTATAAATTATTTAAATCGACAAGATCATAGGTATATTAACCAGTAATGTCCCAAGTATGACTTAACAATAAGATTTTAAGTGTGATTAGCCAATAAGGTCTAAGATATAACTAACCAATAATATCCTAAATGTGGTTGATCAGTAAGATTCTTGGTGTGTTTGTTCAATAAGATTCTAAGTATGGTTAAACAATACGGCTTCTCGGTGTCATTAAGCAACAGCATTTTAGATATGGTTAACCAATAAGGTTAGATTAACGCTTTGCTAACCAATAAGATTCTTGGTGTTTTTTAATCAATAATATCCCAGGTGTTGTTGACCAATAATATTCTTGATGTGGATGAAAAATAATATCCTAATAATGAACTAGCGCTATCACAGAATAAGTACATAACTATTACTTAGAACGAAATAACTAACTTAAACTTTGTTCGTGTGGCTTTGTGTTCTTAACAGGACATTCGAAACGCGAAAAAAAAATTCCTTCTGATTTGATTCAGAAAATATATCTTATATTTTCTTTATCGATACCTAACTCATCTGGGAATTTCAAAGCGTTCGAGTTTGTAGTTTGTTTGTTTTATTTTAATTTTCTCTGTCTGTATATTTTTTTATGCTACTCGAACCCCCTTCTGGCAAGCCTAGTGGCAATTCTTTCGGTGATACAAATTTTCAAAAAGACAGCTTACACAAAACTTTGTTTGGATTAGATTTCTGAATATGACAAGTTGAGAAATTGGTATAAAAATTTTGTAGTATGATTAAATGCGACACCCAATATTACATTTGCAAGGTACACTGCTGGATTGACATAGATTCTTTATAATTTAAAAACAACAAAACCGAAATATTCCAAGTAATTCTATCAAGACTTTTCCTGGGGGTTTTTCTGAATAGATGGCGAATCCATAAGTAGGCTTGAGAGAGGATTTTGTGTTTTTCTTTTGGTATTAATTCCTTGCACAGTTCCATCTTATGGAGAACTTTCCCACGTGAAATTGGATTTTTCTTCTTTTTCCCGTACTGTGGAGAAAACATTTCTTGAGTCTAATTTAAACCCTTCCTTTCAAACTTTAAAACTGAAAACAAAAAAAAACAAAACAAATAGGCTATATATGTGTGGTAATTAACTTTCCAATTACTAAGTAGCTTTGGTAGATTGAGCATTAAGTGGCATTTTTTAAGTTCATTTTAACTTAGTTTTAGAATCGGCAAAATATCACCAAAGTTTGTATCGTCACTCACATATCATTATGGTTGTATAGTCAGTGATATCTCGTGTATATATCACGTTTCTTTGTGTAATCACTGATATATCATGTTTTACTACCAAACTACGTCATGTATTTTTGTACAATCCGTAATATTTCATGTATATTTTTATCATCGGTAATATTTCATATACGTTAATAAATTCATTGTTTTGTCACGCATGTTTAACTAATCAAGTTTACACCACGCTTGTTTCTATAATAAGTGATATATCGTATATCATTGCATATATTCTTGAAGTATAAAAGTGTGCATGATTTGGGGTTTCTCGGCCTTTAGATATTGATATAAAATGAAAGACTGACGTCATCAATCGATTTTTTTTTTCACTTCAAAATACATGTATTTAGCTGGTGGTCGGATTAATTAGACAAATAAACATGCACAGTGCATCGTATAATCCAGAGTGGCCAACCCGCGGCTCGCCGCTCGTGTACCACCTGTGACACTTGAGGAAAAAGCTTGCTGCACACCTGTCATTTTGGAAATGTAACATGATGTGACACATAGTACAATTTTTTTGGAATTTCCGCCCACGCATGGAATGTTATTAAAATACATATCATATTATTAGTCATTTCATCCAATGTATGATGTTATTTATTTCACCTTGACCCCCTCTTCTTCCCCCATTCCTGTTATGTACTTTGGTTTGGTGTGTTTTATCAGGTCGTTGTACCTCACTCCAAATTCAGAATCTAAAATTGGAACAACTACCAAAATGATTGGCCATCTTTGGTGTAACCAAGGATATATTATCCATGTTTGTGTAACCAAGAATATATTATCCATGTTTGTGTATTCAGTGATGTATCATACACGTTTGTGTAACCAAGGATATATTATCCATGTTTGTGTAACCAAGGATATATTGTCCATGTTTGTGTATTCAGTGATATATTATCCATGTTTGTGTATTCAGTGATGTATCATACATGTTTGTGTAACCAAGGATATATTATCCATGTTTGTGTAACCAAGGATATATTATCCATGTTTGTGTATTCAGTGATATATTATCCATGTTTGTGTATTCAGTGATGTATCATACATGTTTGTGTAACCAAGGATATATTAT